TTATCGGACCCCCCCCCCCCCCCCTTCCCCATACTCCTCCCCATGCGACCGCCAGAGTCAAGCAGGCGCAAGACCAAGTCGGCCGAGCCGTCTGCGGCAGCCAAGATCGCAGCGGCTGTGGCGTACGGCAGCTCATCGTTTGCCATACTCTTTGTCAACAAGCTCCTCTTTGCCTGGTATGCCTTCCCCTCGCCAACGCTCTTGTTGTTCTGGCAGGCTGTCGCCGCCGTTGTCCTCCTCGCCTCGGCCCGCGAGGCCGGCCTCATCGCCTTCACCCTCGAGCCGAGCTGGGCGCTCGCCGTCCGCCTGCTCCCGCTCAACGTGGTGTATGTGGTGAACAACGTGGCTGGCGTGGCGGCGACATCGCTTACATCGGTCCCCACCTTTTCCACCCTCCGCAAGTTCTCCATTCTCTTCACCATGCTTGCCCAGTGGTGGGTCCTCGGCATGCGCCCCTCGCCCACCATCGCCGCTACCGTGGTCCTCATGGTCGCCGGCTCCACCGTCGCCGGCGCCGCCGATCTCGCCTTTCATCCGGCTGGCTACGCCCTCATCACTCTGTGCAACGTGACGACGGCGCTGTGGCGGGTCTTGCTGAAGAAGCTCATGGGCCGGGCCGCACTCTCTTCCTTCACGCTCCTCTTCTACAACTCGCTCTTCTCGGCCGTCTTTGTCGGCCTCTCGCTCGCCGGTGCGAGCCTCTGGCAGCCGGCGTCGGACGTTGCTCCGCCAGCGCCGCCGTTCTACATCGACCACCCGGAGACCGCCCCGGACGCGCCAGTTGGCCTTGTCGCCCGCCTCGCGGCGACACCCGGCATGGCCGCCCTTTTCGCCGCCTCGTGCGTTCTCGGCTTTTGCATTAACTACTTTAACTATCTCTGCACCCAGGTCAACTCGCCGCTCACCGCGTCGGTCGTCGGATGCACCAAATCGATTGCCGCTACCTACGCCGGCTTCCTCCTCGCCGACTACGTCTTTACTCCGCTCAACTTTGTCGGCCACAACGTGTCGATGGTCGGCGCCGTCGTGTACTCTGTCGTCGAGTTCCGCGCCAAGCACGGGGCAGCTGCACAGCCGCGCAAGGCCGTCACGGCATGACTGTTGGGTGAGGCGTGTGCGATCACGGTGTCGAGCCGCGCGACGACGGCGAGCCGACCCGGATCTCACCGTCCCAAATGGCCGGCGCCTCGAGGTCCGGGTCAGCCAGCGGCGGCGGGAGCGAGAGGTGTTCGCCGAGCATAGTGTCGTACTCGAGGCAGTGCTTACGGTAGTCGAGGACCGGCTGCGGTGGGTCGTACATGTTGACGACGGCCACCTTGTCCTCGGCGCTTACCTCGCCACCGTCGAGATAGGCCAGCTGCGGGACGAGGAAGAGGGTCCGGGTCCGATAGCCCTCGTCGGCAGCCATGGGGTTTCCGGCCAGAGTCACCTTGCGGAGCAGTGGGAGCGGCGCCAGGTGCGCCACCTGCTCGACGTCCTTAATAAAGTTGCCACCGGCGTCGACCTCGAACAGGAACTCGAGCTCGGACTCAAAGCCGTCGAGGGTGGTGATGGCGTTGTTCGCCACGTCGAGCCTCTCGAGCGCCGGCAGTGCAGCGAGGCCGACCAGCGACTGCAGGTGGTTGCCCGAGAGCGCCAGCTCCTTGAGCGCCGGCAGGTCGGTGAGGACGCTCACATCGTCGACCTTGTTGTGGCGGACTGAGAGCGAGACCAGGCTCTGCAAGCCGGCGAGCGGCGAGAGGTCGGCGATGCCGTTGTGATCGAGGATGAGGGTAGTGAGGCACGGGTGGTCTGCTGCCAATGTCGGCGGCAGCCGCTCCAGCGCGTTGGACGCATAGTTGACCACCCGCAAGCCGGCCGGCGGAGCAAAGTCGAGCAGGTTCGCCAGGCCGTTGCCGCTCACGTCCAGAGTGAGCAGGGCAGCCAGCGGCGAGAGCGGGGCGAGGTCGACCAGGGCGTTGTCATGCAGATCCAGTTCTTCCAGATGCGGGTACTCGCTCAGCACTTTAGCCGACGTCACACCCAGCGACGGCGCATGTAGGGCCAGGTACGCCACACGCGTCCCGTCGGCCGTCCGTCCCAGCTGCGACAGCCGCGCCGTCACCTCTTCGCGGGTCAGAGCACGGGCCATGTGGGTGGCGAGAGAGAGTGTGAAGTGTGTGTGTGTGAGAGTGGGAGTGTGTGTATGTGAAGTGTGTGTGTGTGTATGTGTGCGTGTGTGTGTGTGTGTGTGTGTGTGTGTGTGTGAGGTGTATGCGTGTGTGGTGGCATACTGTGTGTGCGTGTGTGAGCGTGTGTGTGTGTGTGTGTGTGTGTGGGCGTTAGCGCGCGTTGGTTGCGGTGGCGTCGGGGGCCACACGCCCGCCCATCGCCCGCCCATCGCCGCTGCTGCCAACACCCTGTCGGCCCCCTGGCTGCCACCACCTCTGCCCGCTAGCGAGCACTAGCCACGCCCACCCACCACCCCACTCCCCCCCACCCCCACCTCCCCCACCCCCACCCCCACCTCCCCCACCCCTACCCCTCCTTCCATCCTACTGGCGGCAATGGCCGACGTGACTGGCTCTGCCGAGCCCATGCCCACCGAGCCGGTGGAGATGGAGCTCGTCGCTGGCTCTCCTCCCACTGCTGCCAATGAGCAAGCCCCTCCCAGTACTGCACCCATCTCCGAGGAAGAGGCTGAGCCTGCCTCCGCCGCCTCCACCGCCGCCTCCACTGCCGCCTCCGCCGCACCCGCCACGTCCGAGCCGAATGCGACTCGAGAGCCGGCACCCGCCGCGGCTGGCCCGCCGGGCTACGCTGCGCAGTGGGCGCAGTACTATGCTCACCAGGCGCTAGTGGCCGAGGCATCCGGCGGCGAGTGGGCCGACGAGTGGGCCGAGTTCTACAGGGCACAGGCCGAGGCTTCCTCGCGCGGCGTCCGCACCCGGTACATGCGGGCGGCGGCGGCCCGCGATCCGACGGCGCGCCACGAGGCCTGGTCAGCCTGGTTCGCAAAGTACGGCAAGGGCGGCTCCAACGACCGCTACGTCAAGGCGTACGAGGCCGGTGAGCCTGCGCCGACCGAGCCGCCTGAGGGCTGGGTCCCGCCCGTTCCGCCGCGCGAGAAGCAGCGCGGTGAGGACATGGTGACCGTCAAGATCACCAGCTACCCACGCCCGCTCGACCTCGACGCCCTTGTCGAGCACATGACCAAGTATGGCGAGATTCGCAAGAACGGGACCGAGCCTGCCGTCGTCGCCGAAGAGCGCGAAGGCTACGTTCTCCTTACCTACCGCGCTGCAGCCTCGGCCGATAAGGCTGCTGCCCGATCCTCCATGCACCCCTTCAAGAATACCCGCCTCCGCGTCGCCCACGCTGTCCGCGGCTACCACCCCGGCGACTGGAAGTGTCCCAAGTGCTCGGCCAAGAACTTTGTCACATACCCCAACTGCGGCCGCTGCCGCGATCCCAAGCCTGCCAACGCCCAGCGCGTCCATCCGCCTTCGCAGCGGACTGCAGGCCGCCGAGGCGGCCGCGGTGGCCGCCGAGGTGGCCGCCACTCGTCTGGCTCTTGGCGTGGCTCCTCACGCTCCGCCACTGCAACAGGCGCAAACACCTCGGCTCTTGGCGCGCCCTCGACTCGCTTTGCAGGCTATCGGCAATGAGCCGCCGCCCCGCTCCCTCCCTCCCCTCCCTCCCCCCCCCTGTCCGATCGCCTTGAATGTGAACACCCACTCCCGTCATCCCATCCATCCTCCCCTCGCGCCGTCGAACGCTGGCCGGACGCGCCACGCCTCTCTCCCTCCTGCCAGCAGCACATGTCAGTGGCGAACGGGGGCAGAGCCGCCACGCTACGACAGCAGAACGAGCTCCACACCTCGGCCAAGCAACTTGTGCACGCGGCCATCGACCATGAAGAGGCCGGACGGCCTACCGAGGCCCTCGCACTCTACACTGAAGGCGCGGGCCTACTGGCCTCCGCCATGCAGCTGCGCTTTGCCCCGCGCGACCGCCCCGCCGCCCGCACCGCCCACGCCACCATCGCCAAGACCCTCGAGTCCGTCCTCGACCGCATCGACATCCTCCAAGCCGATGCCGCCCGTGCCTCTGCAGCACCTCCCCCGAATCCCATGCCCACCGACCCGTCCTCGCCCTCGTTCTTCCAGCGCCTGTTTGGCAAGGTACGCACCGCCCACACCGCCTCCCCGCACCCCCCTCCCGCACCCCCTCCCCCTCCCCGCTCCCCCACTCACACCCCGAACACGCCATACAGCCCGTCGCCCCACCCGCTCCTGCCCCTGTCCCAGCCCCGGCCCCGGCCCCGGCCCCGGCCCTGGCTCGCAATCCGCCGCACGACCTGACGTCACCGGCTACCCGTGGCGTTCGCAAGTCACAGTTCTCACGCCCGCCGCCGTCGATGCGATCCTCGCGCCCACCACCGGCAAGCTCAGCGGCAAGGTCTCGTGGCCGTGGTTCGCGGCCAACATCAGCACGATCAGCGGCAAGGTCTCGTGGCCGTGGTTCGCGGCCGGCTCGAGCTTCCGGAGCGTCGGCAGCGGCGGCGTCGTCTGGTGGAGCGGCGCGGGTCAGAGGTGGGGATACCAAGTACCTCCAGGGCGTGGACAAGGCGCTGCAAGAGCTTATTCTCAACGAGATCGTCGACTCGGGTACCTCTGTCGCCTGGGACGACATCATCGGCCTGGACGACGCCAAGCAGGCTCTGCAGGAGATGGTCATTCTCCCGGCGCTCAACCCGGAGCTGTTTTCGGGCCTTCGGGCGCCGCCCAAGGGCCTGCTCCTCTTTGGTCCGCCCGGAAACGGCAAGACGCTGCTCGCCAAGGCCGTGGCATCTGAGGCCAACGCCACGTTCTTTTCCATCTCAGCCTCGTCACTCACCTCCAAGTACGTTGGCGAGTCGGAGAAGCTCGTCCGCGCTCTCTTTGCTGTCGCCCGCTACCTCCAGCCGTCGATCATCTTTATTGACGAGATCGACTCGCTTCTCTCGGCCCGCAAGGCCGACGAGCACGAGGCCTCGCGCCGGCTCAAGACCGAGTTCCTTGTCCAGCTCGACGGCGCCACAACGTCGGCCGACGACCGCATTGTCATCCTTGCCGCCACAAATCGGCCCGAGGACATCGACGAGGCCGCCCGCCGCCGCTTTGCCAAGCGCATCTACATCTCACTTCCCAACGCAGCCGCCCGCTCCGCCATGATCGCCGCTCTTCTCGACGGCCACAACACCTCGCTCACCAAGCGCCAGCTGAGCAAAATCGCCACCGCTACCGACGGCTATTCGGGCGCAGACATTGCCACACTGTGCCGCGACGCCGCCTTGGGCCCGGTCCGCGAACTCGGCCTTGCCGTCCGCAACGTCGCCGCCAGCCAAATCCGGCCCATCTCCTACGACGACTTTAAGGCCGGCCTCGCAAACGTTCGCCCCTCGGTGTCGCAATCGTCGCTCGCTGCTTACGAGCAGTGGAACGGCGAGTACGGCTCAGTCAAGCTGTAGCTTACTCGTCGTCGTCCTCGGGCTCAGCTACCTCGTCGCCGGCCGTGGAGACATCCGGCGTGTCGAGCACGCTCACCAGATTGAGGCCTGGGTGAAGCGCGAGGCACGCCGCGCCAGCGGCCGGCTCCAGTCGTTGGAGTGCTACCACACCGGCAGGCACCGGCGTGGCCCGGTAGAGGCCACCGCCGCTCGGCGCCGACGGCTCCAGGCCGGCGTCATCGTCACTGGAGCTTGTTGTCTTGCTCGACCGCGGCAGCCGCGCCAGGCGCCGAAAGCCTCCGCACATGTCGAGCATCGAGGTGTACACCCACGGCGTGTCTGGCGCCGTGTAGGTAAACGTGCCGTCATCCGCCAGGTCTGGCTTGAGGGCAAACCGGCAGACCTGCATGTCCGGTGCCGGATTGGCAAGCGGGGCGAGCGCGCCCGAGACACCGCCGACTGCGACTTGGCCCGAGAGCCGCGCCGCTCGAGATGCCAGCGCGTCGCCCATGATGTCAAAGACGCCCACCTGGCCCGAGGCCATCTGCCAGACAAGCGCGTGGCGAGCCCGCGGGTGAAAGCCAAGGAACGTGACACCGGCAGCCGAGCCGTCAGCTCCGAACCGCGAACCATGCACCTTCATCAGTGGCATCATGGTGTGACGGATGTCCCACAGCGCGATGAGCCCGTCGTCGCCGCCCGAACTGAGGGTGAACCCGTCGTGCGAGACGGCTACAGCCGTGGCTCGGCCCTTGTGTGCGGTGCGGACATGGAGTGCTGGACGCGCACCGCGCGCCGCGCGTGGATCCCACCCAAACACCGCGCCTGATCTGGATGTGGCATACACCGGTGGCCCCACCGCGGCGTGCTGCGGCAACGCCGCCAGCGAGAGCAGGCCCGGCGAGAGCAGCTCGTTGGCCGGAACCTGGAGCTTGAGCGTCGGCTCGAGTCCGCACACTTCAAGGTCGTACTGGGCAAGCCACGGTCGGTTGCCGTACACCGCCAGCAGCGTTGATGGCTCGTCCGGATGGAAGCGCACGTCGCGAATGGCGCCCTGTGGCGGCAGAGCCAGAACCGGGACCAGCGTGCCGGGTGCTGCCGCATTCGACACTCGCGCAACGTCGCCATCGGCCAGCGCTGCCTCCAGGTCAACCACCGAGAACGAGCCTGCCGCGTTGGCCACCACCATCAGCGCGCCGTCACCGTCAAGCGCCAGCTGGGTCAGCGGCTGGACATTATCGCGCGGCTGTCTGCTGTTGCCACCACCGTGCCCGCGCACCACTAGCGTCCGCGCCGCCACCAGCCGCCCAGCCGCCGCCCGCCGCGCCGCCGCCCGCTCTCCGCGCACCAGCCGAGCTCCCGCCAGCGCCATCCCAGTCACCAGTCGCATCATGCTCATGACTTTGATACCTGCTTCTTCCGCGCTGGACTCTGAGCCTACTTTGCTGTTTCCACTGTCGTCTCTGTCGCCTACATCGTCTCCGCCACCACCACCGCCGTTCTCGCTCCGGCCGCTCTCGCTCCCGTCGCTCCCGTCGCTCCCGTCGCTCCCGTCGCTCCCGTCGCTCCCGTCGCTCCCGTCGCTCCCGTCGCCGTGGGCACTTGCCGCAGCTGCAAACACCAGCCGGGTCTGGACCAGCGAGCGCGGGGCGGCGAGGAAGCTTGCAGCGGCCGAGTCGGCCGAGTCGGATGAGTCGGACTCGCAGTCAGCCATGCAGCGGCTAGAGTGGGGTGGGCTGGGCTGGAGTTAGGGCTGGTGGGGAGGAGCGGCCGGGCGGTGGCGGGGTGTGGCGCGACTCGGGCAACGTCGGCGCGCATCTGATGGCAATCATCGGCGTGGGCGAGACCCATAGTGTATCCGTGTTACTGCTCTGTTGAGTACGAGTAATACTCGTAGTCACAGTAATCATAGTTGGAGTCATCAGCTTCATGACCTTCATGACCTTGATCAACTTGTCGGCCAGTGCTGGTCGAGACGGTCAGCGAAGAGGCGCGGGTGAGGTCGGACGAGAGCTCAGTATCGCCCGATCGCGAATAAGAGCGCGAGATGGAGCCGGAGCCAGGCCGGACGGGAGTGACTTGGATGTGGGGGAGGTGGCGCAGTGCGGGTGAGCTGATGTGCGGGAGCGGGAGCGACGGGTGTGCAGGCGACACCATTGAGAGCTCGGCCGAGGACTGCGCGGGCGATGAGGACCACGACATCGTTGATGGCGAGGCCGGCGACGGCGCGCGCGGATGGCGGGCCGGCAGCGGAAGCGGCCGCAGCCAGCTCGGGTCATGGCTGGGGTTGAACGGTGTGTCCGAAAGCGAGTCGTCGAGCTCCAGCCGCAGCAAAGTACGCGGCGTGTGGGCCACGAGCATGTCCAGTGCGACCGGGTGCGAGCCGGCGGCGCTTGCGACGGCCGCATCAGTGCGGCGCGTCTTGCGGCGGCGGCGGCGGCGGTGTGACGGCTTGCCACGGCCATCCGATGCTTGGATTCTGCGGCGCGAGGTGCGCCGGCGGCGGATGACCGAGGTTGTCGGCTGGAGCTCATCCATGCCAACAACGTCCGGACGGAAGGTTGGATGCCGTGGCGCGGACTGGCGGGCTAGCCGCGAGTGCGCCCAGGTGGCGCGGAGCCGGTAGACAGTGAAGCAAGTGGCGGCAGCGAGAACAGCAACGAGGACGATGACAAAAAATACGGTGACCCAGGCCCAGACCGGCAGCCAGGCCATCGAGCACGAACCCGACGCGCCGTTCCCGGGCTGGGCGTTTGCGGGTGCCACGGCAAACGGCGTGCAGAGCCGGAGCGAGGCAAGCGGCGCAGGATGGGCGTATCGATGACCGGAGAGCGTGACACACGTGGCCTCAAGCGAGTCGTCGATGCGAACCAGTCCATACTGGTGGGTCTTCCACAGCCGGAACCCGTGGCAGCCTTCGGTGTACGGACCGCCCTTGGTCGAGCCGATGCGGTCAAGCGGGGCAGCGACGAGGGCCGGAAAGCCGCCGCCGATAGAGTCTGGCCATGCTGACGCGTTGGCGTAATTGGTGTGGATGCCCGAGTCGATGGCCACCATGTGAGCATCACCAGAGATCATGACCAGGTTGGTCACGTTAAGTCGTGCCAACTCGTTGGCGATGAACGCGCGCTCATGCGGCACGCCACGCCACGAGTCGTCGCCGTCAGCGGCAGCACCGATCCACGGTACTGACGAGATCCAGACTACCAGCGCATGGCGTGAGGCACGCTCGAGCATGCCCGTGAGCCAGCCGCGCTGGCGCGGGCCAAGCCGGGTCGTGGTGTTGGACGACGCCCGGAGGTCGGTGAGGAGGAAAGCACCCGTCCGACCTCAAAGCTCTGGTACACACCATCGAGCCGTGCAGCACCGACAGCGTCCGGCGTAATGGTGCGAGTGTAGGCGGCGGAGCCGTTGACTGCGCCCGCCGGTGATGCCGCAGCGTCCAGCGCCGGCAGCGCTGCAGCGGCCCGCGATGCCAGTGGATAGTGCGGGACAGCAGTGAGGTAAGAAGCGAGGGCGGCCGGGCGAGCTGGCGAGGCGGCGTCCGAGTCGTTGGGGCCGTAGTCGTGATCGTCGTGAATGTAGACGACCGAGGTCGACGCGTAGAGCGCCGACTGGGTCGGCGAGTCAAAGACCTGCCTCAGCGCCGACGCAAACCGCCATGGCGCCGACTCGGCAATGTCCTTGTAGTACAAATCACCCATGTGGGCAAAGAAGAGCGGGTGGGCACGGGCGAGGTCATCAAAGACGGCATGAGCGGAGCCGGTCGACGCGCACGAGGCGGCGGCAAAGGTGAACGAGGCAACGGCACCGGCGGCGGAAAGGTAGTAAAGGTGGCGATTGGGCGCCATGACGATGCCGCAGTCGGAGCAAGCGCCATCAGAGCAGCCCGCAGCTGGCTGATTGGCGCCGAGGCGTTGACAAACGACGGGAGGTGGATGAGGGCGAGCGAGTATCTTGTGTCCGGCACGAGGTTGGTGAGGGTGATGGCGAGATAGCCTGGTGATGGCGGTGGCGGCGAGCGGTGCGGAGGCGGGAGGATGCGGACAAGCGCAGCCCACGCGCTTGTGTCTGCCAGCGAGTCTGCCGAGGTGGCAATGGCCACTGTCGTGCCACTGGTCACGGCCGGCAAGGCGTCGACGACGCAGCGGGACGACACCGCCGTCGTCGCCCCGCACCATGCCACTGCTGCTGCCGGCGGGACGGAGGCGGTGGCAAGGGCAAGGGCAAGGAGTGTGGCGAGGACGAGGGTTCCCATGCGGGTGGAGTGGTGTGGTGAAGGGGGTGGAGACGCGTGGCAGAGTTAGCCCGGGCACATTGGCCGAGCTCGGTGGGGCGATTCATTGCATAGACAAGCAGGCTACGGCGGGAGCGGCTGATGGCGCTTGGCGGGCGGGGCTAGCGACATTGAGTACGAGCTCTTGCGCTTGGACAATGATTTGCTCCGCGATGACGACGAGCTCGGCGAGGCACGGCCGGGCGGGTGCTCGAGGTGCATGGGTACCGGGAGCTGGATGCGCGGGTTGGCAGACGACGAGGCGCCCATGCTTGCGATGGCAAAGTTGGGGAGGTGGCCGATGCCGTGGATGACAGCAGAGAGCTTGGACGGCTTGTCAAGCTTAGCGAGCGACGACGAGACGACCGAGGAGATGGCTCGGTCGATTTTGGCCTGATCGCCTAGCGGTGACGCCGGGAGGTACAGCGGGCCAGATGAGGATGTGCCGGCGGGCGGCGGGCCGGCAGCAGAGCCGAGAGCCGCAGCTGGGCCGAGAGCGGAACGTGTGGCCGAGTCGTCGGCTGAGCCGCCAAAGCCCAACAAGGACGGCTGGCGTGTGAGCAGCGCGTCGAGCTGATCCTCGATGGAGACAGGGCCGAGCGGACGGGTGGGAGTGCCGGGAGTGCCGGACGAGTCGTCGCCGGACGAGCTGCCCGAGCCGGCTTTGGCCAGCGGTGGCTGGGTGGCGACACCTAGGTGCGAGATGGAGTCGCCGAGGGCGGCGAGCTGTGAGCAGGCCGACGCCGACGCCATCGCATGGTGGAGCGGAGTCGGCTTAAGACGACGGGTGAGTTGCGGCGGGACGGGGGGCGCTCGCCGGGCGAGTTGAGACACAGGGTGGTGTGGAGGGTGGCGAGGGCGTAGGCGTTGGCGGTGGTGAGGGTGAGGAGCGACGACGACTTGCGCGAGGTGGCCGTGCCCGGGTTCGCTCCACTCACGCACTCCTTCTCCATACGCAGAAAGTACTTTTGCGCATGCGAGGCGATCTGTGTCGGCGTCCGCGTCAACACGTAGCTCGAGGCTATGGAGCGCCAGTCACCGCGACCGTAGGTTTGCAAGCCCATGAGGAACAGCAGATGCTCGTTCTCCGACCACGCCCCACCCTGGGGCTTCTTGCGCGCTCCAGAATTTGCAGACATGCCACCCGCCCTGCGTGCTCCCCAAGAGCGTGGTGGGAAGGTGAGGTGGGTACTGTGGTTGTGTGCGTGGGGGAAGGTGTGCCGTCGGCAGTCGCACCCTTTGCAAGGAGCCCCCAAAGCCACGCCAGCGCCAATTTGTCGAAATACATGGTCAGACATTCCCGAATTGGGCAGCCATTTTAAGGCGACCTGGGCCTGCCCGGAGGCAATCGATGGCATGTACATCTGCGCATCTGCACGTGAGGACAGGTTGATATTGTTGAAACAACCGGTTGCGCCACCTGCTTCTTACCCGCAGCGCGTGCACGTGAGAGTGTTCCTTAGCCGCAGACAGCGACCGCGATGGCGGTCGCAAGTGGCAGTGCGAAGGGAAGGGCGGTAGGAGGAAGGCCGGAGGGCCAGAGGGAAAGGACTGCACACCTGCCGCAAGCTGGAGCTGGAGCCGTTGCCATGTCCCGATATTGCTTGCCTGTACTCCACCACCTGCCTCATCACCAGGATCGGCGGGACGGCGAACGTCACTTACATGTGACACATTGGTGAACAACGTTTCCCATCAGGGCAAATGTTGACCAGTTGCGAACAGCTGGCGATGATGCATCGGCGGGAGCAGTGATCTTTGCTAGCGTGTGGGGCAGGTTAGCGTGAGTGTTGGAGAGTCAGCATAGGCAGGGGACATGTGGGCGGAGGTGTGGGAAGCATGTGGCGGGCGGTGCGGGAGATTGCCTGTCGGAAGGCAGCGCTGTGCACGTGTGAAACATATTTTCATGAGAGGAACACCGGGCACAATTTCCTCCACCGCCACCGCAGCGCGTGAGGCCAGGGAGCGACGAGGCCGGGGTTAGCGCAGCGGGACGGAGGCAACTTGACTCTGCAACCCGGTTGCCCCAGTTCCAAACGACTGCCCCCCACTCACAGCCCCTTTTGACACACTTGCCGGTCCGCACCGCAAGTGCTGTAGGGTTGTTTTTGAGCTTCTTCCCTGCCTACCTGTGCGCTGTTTCTCCGCCTGCCTGGTGAGGGATCGTGCCTTATTGACGTTCCGTTGAGTCGCACCTCCCCAACTACCCCAGCGACCGGAGCACTCCGTCCGCCCCTGTTTCCGCTCCGGCCCACCTACCCGCCGACGGAAGCACCCATTACTTGCCGAAGTACCGCGTCTGCGTACTTCTTTTTGGCACCCCTCTCGCTCTCTTTGGGCTCCCCCGCTTGGTCCAAGTACCTCCGCTGAGCCTTTTGGCAAGCCAGTTTTTCCCCGCTTCGCCCAATCTATTCCTCGCGACTCGTCGGCTGCTTCCGCTCCGAGTTCTTTTTTTTCTCGCCAACCAATTTGCTGCGGCCTCGCTAACTGTTCCGCCGTCGCTTATTCGCTTCACCGCTCTCGCCTCCCCTGACCTGCCCACCATGTCGATGTCCTTCCTGGAGGCCGCCTACTTGGTCCTCAAGAAGACCAAGCGCTCTATCCACTACCAGGACCTCATGGCCCGCATCATGGACCTGGACCTCGTCACTACTCGGTACGCTTACCCATACCTGTGGCATATGCCGAACACACGCTTTTCCTGAAACAGGACGTGCGGGCCAAAGTTCGTTTGGTTTCTCCGAGGTCCTCTTTTTATTCCCCCTCCCCCTCCCTCTCTCCCCACTCACCCTCCCTCTTCCTCCTATGCCACAGAGGCCTCACTCCATCGCGGACGCTCAACTCGATTCTCAATGTCGAGTGCAAGCGGCCGCAGTCGCGGTTCTGCTCGTACCGATCCGGCTACTTTGGCCTCAAGGAGTGTGGCAACATGCACGAGCCGCCTCCAGAGGTTGAGAAGAAGTCCCGGGCGCGTGCGCGGCGCAAGGACGCCAAGGGTGCCAAGGCCAAGGCGCGGACCAAGGCACGGACAGCCAAGGCCGCGGGCAAGAAGGCCGGGGCGTCGTCCAAGTCGAGCTCGAAGAGCTCCAAGTCGCGCAAGGGCCGCACGCCGCGATCGTCATCAGCCAACTCGGATTCGGGTTCGGGCTCGTACTCGTCGATGTCGTCCGAGTCGCGCAACCGGGCGCTTGCCCGCCGTCGCCGCCGTGAGGCGCGGCTGCTTCGGCAGGAGCGCCGGCGGTTGGAGGCAGCGGCAGCGGCAGCGGCTGCGTCGGGCTCGCCGTCTGCAGCAGCGGCTGCTGCGGCAGCAGCCGCTGCTGCGGCCGCGCGGCCGCGTTCCCGACTGTACTCGCGGTCGCCGACCCGCCAGCGCCGGCGGCGTGACGGGTCGGTCTCGTCGTCGTTCTCGGGCGCGTCGCGATCGCCCGAGGGGCTCGAGGGCTCGCCTGTTGAGTACCGGATGGACTCTGACGACGCGCGGTGGCTTGAGGGCTACAACAAGTCGCAGGGCAAGAGCGTGACCGTTCAGCGGTTCGAGCGGTTCCTGGATCGGTTCGAGAAGGCCTCGCACACCGAGACCGAGGCCATGCAGCTGTCGCTGGTCCAGTTCCCGGGTGAGGAACTCTCGACGGTAGAGGACGTGTACAGCTACTGGGTCTCAAAGCGGCGGGCCAATGCCGGGCAGCCGCTGCTGACGCTCGCATCGCGCGGCTTTGCGTCTGCGCCGGTCTCGCCGCGGTCGACTTCGCCTGCGGCGCTCGACTCGCTGGACCTCTCGTCGCTGCCGGGCATGGCGTCGCGACGTGTGCGGTCTGTGGCGCCCACGCCTGGGCGTGCGACGTCGCCGGATTTTGCGGCGCTCCTCGCGCATCGCACCGGCGGGATTGACCCGCGGCTGGCGTCGACGGCGCGCGGCTCGGGCATGCACGACCCGAACAACGTGGTCAGCGCGGCTGCCGAGATCCTGCGCGGCACCGCACCGCTCGTCCCGGCGTCGGTGGCGTACCGGTCGGGCACTGCGCCCGTGTACATGCCGCCGTCGGACGCGGTGACAGCGGTGCCGTCGGGCGCGCAGACGCCGATCGGCGGCATGGACTTTGGCGCGTCGGCGCCGACGACCTTCCGCTTCGACTACTGCTCGACCTGCTTTGGCACCTCGAGCATGCCATCGAACAACCTGCGCGTGTGCGGCGGGCCGTGTGCTCGCTGGTTCCACGAAAAGTGCGTCGGCATGTCTCAGCGTGACGTCGTGGCGTCGTCGCTGTGGCGGTGCCCCGACTGCAAGGCTGCCAACGCGTCGCCGACGTCGATGGTCGGCTCGGCCTCGCTCTCGGGTCCGCCCAACTCGACCCTCTCGATGATCAACTTTGACGACGTCCACACCAACCCGCTGACCTCTGTCCCTGGCGCGCTCGCCTCGCTCCCGTCGCTCACTGTTGGCGGCGCACTCGACGACGGCATGCTCAACGCGTCGTCGTATGGCGACAACTCGGTCTCGGGCGTTGCAGACTTTCCGTCGACACACGACATCCATCACCCCTCAGCCTACGCCGAGTTTATGGACTCGATTATCTCAGCTGCGCCCGGCTCGCCCAAGCGCAAACGCGATGTGGAGCCCGCACTGCTCTTCCCGGAACCGAAGCGCCGCAAGGCCATCGCTGCCTCGCACTGATCGCGTTCAATTTAGGCTTGCGCCCCGCTCCTTGACCCCCCCCTCCCCCCTCAACTCTCACACACAGACCACCCTCTACTCTAATCGTTATCAAATAACAGAAAGCATTTTTGCCCCGCTTGTTACTCGCCCACACCTGTTGCTGACGCCTGCAGCGCCTCCATCTGCTTTGCCATCGTCGCCATCTCGACCCGCTGTGCATGGCACTTGAGCCGCAAGTCGTGGAGCTCCTCGCGCGCGTGCTCGCCAAACTCGATGGTCGGCGTAAACGGCGCTGCACCGAGCCCGACCGACACAGCCAGCCTCTGCGACGTCTTGACCGGCGAGACAAAGCCGAGCTCGTCGGCCACATCCTCGTCGTCGTCCTCACTGCTGTCGTCCAGCACTCTGCCGCTGACACCAAAGCTCTGCGACAGCACTGCTGCGCGGACCATCGACGCATACAGATCCTTGCCAACCTCATCCAGCTCGTCTAGCTCATCCACAGTGCCCTGACTCGGCCCTGGCCCGCCGACCAGCTCGTCCATCTCTGCCACCTCGTCCTCCACTAGCAGCTCGTCCCATGCCAGCGGCGGCGGCCGCATCTCCGCCGCCGTCTCCGCCGCCGTCTCAGCTTCGGCCGCCTGCACGCCCCACCCGCCCACGCCCACCATGCCCATGAGTTCACACCAATACTCATGACTACACCATGCCCGTGCGCCCACTGTTTCCTCCCGTCTCTCGCGTGCGGCTGGGGGCTGGAGTAGATTCACTCTGTTTTGGCGCCACCACCCGCGCCACACGCCACACGCCACACGCCCGCCGCAGTCGTACCTTGTAGCCATTGAGCTCGGTGAGCGCATTCTCCAGCTCCATGGCAAGGACATGGACTCTCTCCTGCAGTCGCTCCCGCAGTCGCCGCTCAGCCATCAGTTCCGCCCGAAGTTGGTCCATGTTGGCCTGTGAGAACTTGGCTGTGGGTGGGGTGTGGCCGCGAAACGCCACCACCTGGCCGCCGCCGTGTCGCCACCTGGCCGCCACCTGGCCATCACCTGGCCATCACCTGCCCGCCACCTGCCCGCCACCTGCCCGCCCCTAGCCTGGCCATCGTCACCCGGAGCGACCCCCCTCATCACGACCCCCCACCCCACCCTCTCCCAGCCCCCAACCGTCCACATCAGTAACTGTGAATCCATTCTACCGGGGCTCATTTCAATAATCTC